ACTTATATAAATTAATCAATAAAGATATGAGCAAGGCCTCACCTTAATACCAAAAAAAAAAAAAAAAAAAAAAAAAACTATTACAATAAATAAATTTTATAACCGTGCACAACGGCACAGGTTAAATGCTAGTATATAATTATATATATTCTATATGTATAACATAAGACATCTGGCTAACACCCTCCAGGATATTACGTAATATCTGTCATAGCCCTAACTGTATTATATTATATAATGAGTTACCAAAAAAAATTAGTTCTTAATAAAAGTTTTTTGATTGTTGAAGCTTTGGGTATTGTAAAATCCCGAAGTCTAGACTTCTCTTTAAATGTTATTTTAACTGGATTTTATTACCATGATACTATTCAAGAATTAAATTTACCTAAATTTGAAGATAAAGATGTAATGCTTGCTACTAGAAATTTTTATATTGTTGAAGACACTAGCCAAAATGATGAAAAATATTATATTTTAAAAGCATAATTACTATCATTATGAATATAAAAAATTCATTTAATAAAATATAATCTGCCTAAAGGTGTAGTGACTTAGTGTAGTAGTCTAGTTATCACCCTCTCCAAGTAGCAGGTCTAGAGTTCAAATCCCACTAGCAATGATATTTAAAAAATAGGCCTGTGTTTGGTTGACAGCTATGCTTATCAGTTGGATCTAGAACTAAATCTGTAACTTTGGTTACACTATCTAGTAATGGGAGCTTTGGTACAATAAAACTGAGAAATAGGCATAATTGAAAACCTATTTGGAAAGACCCAGATCTGGAGATAGTAGTGATCTTTGATGGTATCACAGGAGGGCTGAATTTGAACCGGGCCCAAGATCAAAAACTGAGCAACCAGGTCCTATGGCGGAGGACATACTAGCTAAACCACCAGTTTGTTGCACCAGAAGAAAAGCACATATACTCCAAAAGTATGGACCAAGAGAAGGGTATCACTCAGATACCTAAAGCCTGAGCAGACCAACCCTTCCGAGTTACTAGCTGGAAGTAAGAGAAGAACCAATAAAGAATCTGGTAAGAAGACAGTTCAAATGTGGGTACCAGGGTTGTTGTAAACCAGATAAGAGCAAAAAGCAATCAATGGGGTCATATGTCAAGAAACTGCAGATTTATTAGAGTCCTACATTATTGGGTAAAAACCCAGGACATTATTGATGAACTTGAAGTATGACAACAAATTGCAAGTGGAAACTTCGGTAACTGCAAAAAGATTGTTATATATGAAATACAAACAACCTAGTCTGGCAGATCACTTATCTTGCTAGCTGGTATTAGGTTGAAGATAAATTGTGATACTAGAAATACTTCGAATTATTATATAAAGTAGTTTCTAGATATAAATAGTTGACCATAGCCTTAGTCTTGATGTATATAAAAATTAGTTGTATCACATATCTGTAATAGATGTAATATATACAGTTAACATAATAAAAAGTACCTAGAGAAGCAATCTCATTTTAAAAAAAAAAATTAAAAAAAATATAATCTGCCTAATTTTTATTAACAATAGTTTAAGTTAATTTTTTTTTTTTCTTTCAACAAAAAAGATTACTTTGAATGATGTTGTTTGTTTTGATACCCTTGATTCTAACAATTTATCTGCATTTCCAATATTAATTAATATAACAGCATTGGTACAAGAAGACCCAAAAATCAATAACAAAGATGTAGTTATTAATGTTTTGACTAAAAATTATGTCAACCAAAGCTACAATAATCTTAAATTAACATGCTATAATCCTACCTCTGTGCAATATTTGACAAATACGATGGCTGTTATAAAGAAAGATTCTGTAATCTATATTAATGGAGAACTTATGATTACTGATAATAATAATATAGTTCATATATAGAATGTTCTATTTCTGGAATACCAAAAATTAAATATAATTATAAAAAGCAACCCAATACAATTTTCATGAAAATCGAAAGATCAGAATAATACAAATCAGCAAAATGCCTCTACTATTGCTCAAACTATAGCCACAAGAGTCAAGGAAGCACCTGACATAAAAAACCCTAAACTGTATCTTAAAACCAATTCTCGGCTAAAAGTTACTAATTTGATAAATGATCTCTTAAACAAACCTTTGAATTCAAACATGCCTAATCAAACTATTACCAAATAGATAAGTATATTATTATTTATAGAGATGTTACCGTAGGTTTCCGAAAATAAGCTACTCTTTTTTGGCCAAAAAGTTACACAAAAATTCTGGGGGTAGCTTATTTTCGGATAAAATTTCGAAAAGATTGATTTTTATTATTTTTTTAAAATCCGAAAGTAGTTTCTATATATAAAAGTCAAAATTCTACTATGTAAATCGATGAAAGTCACTTAATAGGGGTTGTTCAGGACGTAAAATACACATATCCTAAAAGTTTGAAGCAAATCGGAGAACTTTTTACTAAGATGTTTTTGAATTTTACGTTTGAACGTAAAATGCAAAAATATCTTAGTAAAAAGTTCTCCAATTTGCTTCAAACTTTCAGGATATGTGTATTTTTATGTTCTGAACAACCCCATTAAGTGACTTTCATCGATTTACTTAGTAGAATTTTGACTTTTATATATAGAAACTACTTCCGGATTTTAAAAACTTATCGGGGTAGCTTATTTTCGGAATAAAGATTTTTTTTATGTTTCTTCTCCAAGAAAAGAGAGGGTAGCTTATTTTTGGAGGTAGCTTATTTTCGGAAACATACAGTATCCAGGTCAAAAAATAGCAACTCAGATCAATAAGGTTCAGGTCAGGTACTAATCCGGATCATAACCTGGGTTATACAGATTAGCCAATCAGATCTATCTCTCGTGAATTTTATTATTCCAACCAATCAGTGCAAATGCTTTTCATGTGATTTGATTATTATAATGATATATATTAAAAAAAAAAAAACATCTAAAATCTACCTTGAGGCATTATCAAAATATATAATAGTTTTTAATAATCCTAGCTTCAACTCTAATACAAGACTAATTCCAACCTTAATAAAATAGCTTAAGCGATTCTCAAGTCGTAAGTGTCTCATTTAAAGTTTGACAACTATTGAATTTTATAAAGTGTTAATTTAAACAATATATTTGTCATTAGATCCATTATAAAAAATAGATTAATAAGTGCCCGAGGGCATTTGTGAAAAAAAAAAAATTGAATAATACTTGTACAAGTTTATTTGCATTTAAACTACTTGCCGTTGTAATATTTTTTTTACCTTGCTGAGAATTATTTACGAACATATTGAAAAGAATATATACTTTATTACCTATTGTATTATAAATAGTTAGTATTACAATACCTATTTATTAAATATTTATTATACTGTGTATTTATTAAAGGAAAAAATTAACAAATTTAATTTAGAGACAAAATGCATGTAAATAAAGATAGTAACTTAGAAATGAGTGATGTAGAAAGTGAAGCTTCACTATAATCATCTATGGTATCTACACCATCTACACTATCTCGAACAAGTAGTCTATTTTTACCTGGTAACTTTCAACAACAAAAAAAAACTGAAAAATCAGAGAGAAGCCCTGTAAAAGCTTTTTATTTGATAGTACCAGTTAATAATATAGAATTTTGGGTATGTCGCCATAAAACTTGTATTCCACAAGTAAAATATCGAAAAGATGTATCTATATCAAATTTGTGAAAACACTTAAGAAGTAAACACTATCTATTAAAAGAAATTATTGAAAGTGGTCATGTAAATATTGAAGCAAAAAATAATGGTGGCTGCAAATTTCATGTAACTGCAGAACCCTCACAAATGACATTAATTCAGGCATTTAATAAGACAACGAAGTATACAATTAATAATCAAAAACAAAAAAAACTTAATAATAATGTTGTGTCTTTTATTGTTAATGACCTTTAGCCATTCTCGGTTCTTGAGAAGCCATCATTTAAAAAAATTATTGAAGGACTTGACCCCCAAGTTAACATGCCTAGTAAGGATCGATTAAAAGAAATCCTTATTAATACAGAAGACAGAATCTTAAGAAATGTGCACGAGTATGCACTTAATGATGCCAAAATTAGCTATGCGTCATTTACCACTGATATGTGGACTTCTGACAATGGTAACCTGTATATTGGGTTTACATTTCATTAGATCAATAGCAATTTTCAAATAAAAGAAATGGTTAGGGAAATTTTATATTTTCAAAATTGATTAAGGAGACCTCTTTGGCCTGAAAGCTTTTATTAGGATTTGAAACGGTGTTTTATATGCAATTACAACGA